CGGCAGGCGGACTCTCAACCACTGCGCCACCAGGGCAGCCCTGAGATACTCTTAGAGATATTACACCTTCAAAACACAGGGAACCTCATTAATGGGAAATAAAATTTAAAAGTGTGTCATTTTACCCCTTTGATACTCTTTTATTCAAACTCCCTCATAAAGGTGAGTGTGGGGTCTACCTGTTCATTAGTTAAACACAATTCCACAGAAAGTATTTTGAAATAGAAGAAAGAAGGCACCCCATAACAGCTACAGAAGCTTGGCTATGGTGCATCACATCAGTGCACTTCTTTAAAAAGTCACAGGTAGTGTCCTGTGACTTTTTAAAGAAGTCTGTATGGTTCTGCTTTAAGTGTTTAGTGTGGGGCTTTGGGGCTTGGCTGTGTTGAGAAAGGCCTTATTTACTTTGGGCCAAGTGTGTTCTACCTTAACCTTGGGCCTAAAAAAGCCCAGAGCAGTTATAAGAGAAGAATTCGCCACATGGCTTATAGGGACTCACTCCTCCTCTGTTCTGGGGCTCAGAGTTCCTCTGGGAGTCCTGGACTCTACTGCTCCATTTCCGCTCTTCACCCCACAGTGGCCACGTGGGGAAAGTGGGGTGGGGGGCACCCAGGTCTCTCTACAGAACCACGTGGGGAGTTACTACTAGCCTAGGCTTCTCGCGCACTTTCACCAGGCACAATTAACCACAAATCAAGTTTGTTGAGACAACACCAGTTCCTCTTTCCAATTCCCCTTTTATCCCCAACAAATCCGCGCCAGAGCTCCCTCGGCCACTGCTGACTCATAACGTCCCATCTCCCTCTCCCCCAAGTTCCACTCTTGGTCTCACATCAAAACATTTCCTCAGAGTCATTCAAAGCTGGACTTCCCTGTTTTCTACTTGCACATCATTCCCTGAATTTGTCTCCCCTACTCAAACACAGGCCAGAACCAATGTCAAAAAAGATGTCTCGGCCATCCTTTACTCAATCCTCTCTTATATCTCTGGAATATGGTTTTTGTAAGAGCCTAGATTTCTTCCCATCTTTGCCCCATTCTCTCCCATTCCTAAATACAGCAGGACCACCAGGCCACAAGGTAATACAGGCCAGTCATTCACATTTCCAAACCTTAACATCTCTTCAACACAATCATCAGCACATCTATGGCTCAGCCATATTCACATCACAGTGGACAAAAGCAGATGAAAGCTACTTTTAATACACAACATTTGGGGTATTTTTTGTTGGTGCTGAGGTAGCAGGGTGTGTGTGTGTGTGTGTGTGTGTGCTATTTAGAGCCACAAACTAGCAACCAGAGTTGCAATAGCTATAGCAGACACATATTAATATACAGGTTCAAAGTTTAGGTGTTCCACATTTTTTGTTTGGGTTTGGTTTACTTTTCTATTGGGCTCCGCGCCAATAAATCAATATCTTAGCAAATGGCTCTGATAGTTTCCAAAAGCTACCCAGCCAAGTAACTTAATTTAAACAATGCCATTTTACAAAGCGGTAAATAAGTGTCTTATAAATACAGAGAAGGAAAACCAGCTACAAAGCAAAGTTACTGAAACCCAACAATAGGGCTAAGTACTGGATAACATGTCATTCAGGATTTAGGACAACAAATCAGGCTGACACAGGCATTCTCACCCTCCAAAATGCCAGTAAAGTAGAATAAATGGCCAAAGACAGCTAATGTTGGGTAACTAAACGTGGAGGAATCATATCCAAATGGAATGTTCCTGATGGAGACATTAAGGGTGTTTTCTTTGCCCCACACAGAATTCACAGCAGATGGGTACGTCTGCATTTCCCAGGAATCCAAAATGCTGTGCACTGGGAAATGACACATTCATTTTGCTTGGAGGAAAAGGTTTTACCAAAACTGGCTTTGAACTAGGGTAGGATTTTGCACTTGATTTCTGGGTTTAAAGAGAACCTACTGAGCAACAAAGTTTCCTAAATCAAAAGCCTGAGATTTCCCTCAGCCCAAAACATAATTAGAACCTTAAATGAAACGTTGGATGACACCTAAAATTGTCAGAATATCTCTTCTGCAAAATAATTTTACAATTATGTTTTTCTCGTTATTGCCTATTACGTTTATAATGAACCAACCTTATTCACTTTTCCTTTGGGTACAAAACACAAGGAAGAATGTGTTTTCTTGATTCTGAAAAGTCTGAATGTATTTGATTCTGGATTTCGAAGTCTGAGCAGGGAAATGTATTAATTTTTAAGGATTCTAAGCAATGATTTTTATTAGTATTACATAAAACAGAATTGTGGGATTTGTATATATACATCTGTATGTATATATACACATCAGACAAGATTATGTACATATATGCACATGTATATGTATCTATACATATATATGTTTAGATATGCATCAGACTAGATTAACTTGACAACTTCCTGCTCCTGAAATTATGTTACTAAAAATAATTACACCTGAAGTCATCCAGAATGCCGTAATTTCAGGAAATGACACAGCAGATAAATTTATTTCTCCTACTCCTACCTTCTACATAAAGAACAATTATGCTTTCAAAGACAGCCACCACTAGCAAGAGCAGGAAGAAATTCTTATCACCCTATGCAGCAGGTAAATTGGGGTGTGTGCACCAAAGCATTCTTATTGGGGAGGAAAATTGGGGGTGCTGTAGAACACCCTATAGATACTGTTAGAAAAGGTAAAACTTAGTCATCCAAGACTGGTCACCCTTTGCTCCTACACATGCGATTCCCAGAATACCACCTTCCTCTTTGATCTCCTGAGTCTCATATTTCACTTCTCTAACATTACAGAGTTTAGGCACATTCAATTTTTTTCTTATTTTTGATTTTTATTAAGTGAATCAATTCTATTCCTTTTGTTTCCTTTTTAGTTTCTATAATAAAATAACAAATGCTTGTTGCCAAAAAAAAAAAAAAAAAAAAGGTTTTTAAGCCCAAACATAACTTTATAAGGTAAAAAGTAAAAGTACCCTCTTTTCTTTACCATCTGAACCCACTTCCTTCAGGAAGCCACTGTCAACAGTTTGGAGACAACAAGGTATACGTGTGCTTGTATGATGGTTTGTATATAAATCTCTTCCTTTTTTCACTTACCATATCATGATTTTTTCCCAAGACAATGTGCCAAAGCAGCTAACAAATACATTTACATCTATTGCATTTCTCCCTTTCCCTACAATGAGACTGCTAAATCAAGATGTACTGAATATCAAAAGAAGTCAAACAAAAAACCTGTCAGCCTAATACTAAATATATCTGGTTATATTCATTTTTACACTTGCCTTCAACCTAAAAATGGTGAGAACAAATGGGTAAACATACATGCGTAAATATATATGCACTATATAGATTATCTTACACAGATAAATGTTAACATATGTAATGTATGTATGTTACAATGAAATTAATTTTCAAAGGCAAGAAGCAAAGGAAGGCACCTGTGTAGGTGGTGAGACTTAATGGGTCCTGAATAGGGAGGGACACCGTGTGGAAATTTCCTGGGCTTTGGAGCCAGAGACACGGGGTCAAACCTAACTCCACCTCTTACTGATTATGTGGTTTGTGTAAGTTCCTTAACCATTCGAGCTTCCTTTTCATCATCCATAAAATGCGACAAGACTTATCTTACAGAGATATAGAAATTAAGTGTTTAAGATGGTGTCTTGAACATACTAAGTGCTCAAAAAGTGCCTTATTACTGTTAATCATCCAGAAACTATATATGCTAGACTTGGTGATCCAATACCTCATATCACCAAATACCTGCAAACCTTGCTGTTTCGTTTATCTTTGTGTTTTGGTTTGCCTTCATGTTTTTACATTTACTTTATTCATACAGACACAGAAAGTGCCTTAGAAATAAATTACTGTAAACATGCTTAGTAGCTTTAATGCATTATTGAAATATGATCCTTTCTCCTCCTACTCCCCCAGCCCTGGGCTCAGCAGCAATGTCCCAGCTTCCTCCTAAAAGCAATCTTAAGTTTTACTTGCAACTTGTGGTAAACACAAGCGATCTGACTACCACAAAATAACTGAAAATATCTTCCGTATCTGCTGATGACCATCAGCTTAAAGTGTCAAAAGCCGACCTTCCCAGTGAGGCGACTTCCTATCCTCTCCTTTTACTTAACAAGGCCATCAACGATGCATACACCTTTAGCAGACTAGTGGCCACGTCTTGGGGAAGAGATGCTCTGCAGACACCAGAGGCCTACCAAAAACACATCTGCTTTTATCACATGTCATTGGTCAACTGTACGTCCACCCACCCTTTACATTCATTTATTTTGAAAAGGTTAGATTTCCAGAAAATCCTAAACTTCTAGAACAATTAGGGGGAAGCTTGACCACTGTACTATCCAACCATCTCCTTTTACAGGTGAGAAAACTGAGGCTCAGGAAGATGTGACATGCCCAACAGCATAAAAATATTTAGACACCAGTCGGGATTAAAACCTCAACTCTTCAAGGTTCTTTTCTACTACTAATAGGCAAGATTTTATCTGTTCCAGTAGCTCTGTAAAATGTTTAACTATTAAAGATTTTCGGATGAAAGGAAATGTTTGTGGTTGCGAATATATGTGGGAGAGGCGAAATGCACCGTGTGCTGGCCTCAAGGGTAACGAATCCACCTGCCTGTCCACGTGCAGATGGGATAAATGAAGGGGAAAGTCGCATTTGGAATTTTTCACCCTCCTACTTAAATTTACAGGGAGCCGTGTAGGGGACACAAAGGACCCCAAAGGACTAGAAACCCCGACTGTTATCTCATAATGGCTCTAGGGACATGTTAGGCCAGGCTGAAGTAAAGCAGCACGGAGGCGGGGAATTTCTCCCAGGATGATAGCAGGCAAGGGAAAGAGGTATTTTGCGTATTTATTCACCTGGGTAAGCAGACGCTGTCAATTTCCTCCTCTTGCCACCCAAGGAGCTACGTCCCTGCACTCGGATTGTCTGGTGTTCTCGCCTCCCTTTCTCCCGAGGACGGTTATGGCAAGGGCGCGAGTGCGGCCGGGCCGACAAGGGCCTGGGCACTGGGGCGCAGCCCTCACCCGGCTCCCTGGCTGCTGCCGGCGCCCGGCGACGGCTTCCTTGGGCAGCGCCTTTGTTTTCCCGACTGCAATTACGTTTGCGGAAGTGCTGCTCGCGCCGGGCGCACCGGGGGTGCAGGCTGTAGCTGCCCTCAGCGCCCCAAAAGATGACAACCGACTCGGGATCCAAGGGGAGGGAGACAGTAGCAGGCGAGCGGGACTGGGAGCGGAGACACCCCCCCCACGCCCTGAGGCCGGGCCCCTCCTCGGAAGCCTTTCAGCGACTGCAGGTGTGAGCGCCGCAGGGGGCTCCTCGCCTTCTGGCCGGGCCCGGCCCCTGCAGGGGAGCCCAGGGTGGGGCTACCCCGCCGCCCCGCCGAGCGCGACCCCTTCCCCCTCGCGCCGGGCTCCGACTCACCTGCGGCGGGCGGCGACGGCGGCGAGAGCTCAGCTGCGCGGGGCGCGGGGAGCCATCTCCCCCGGGCACGGGGCGGCGGCTCCGGGCGCCGGGGCGGCGGCTGTCGAGACGGCGCTCACCATCTCGGGCGGGTCACTGGTTCCTCGGGAGCTGCGGCGGGGCGGGGCGCGGCGGAGGGATGCGGGCCGGTGGGGGGACCGGGAGCTGCGAGCCGAGCGTACCGGTCGGCGCGACCTTCTCTCCTCCTCCTCCTCTTCCTCTGGCCCGGCCTCCGCCGCTCGCTACCGGCTGGACCCGTTTCAGGGCTGAGCGCCGAGGACCCGCCGCCAGGTGCAGCGCTCCGCCTCCTGCGGCGGCGGCGGCGGCGGCGGATGCGTCGGCGGCTGCTCCTCCCGGCCTCCCGCCAGCCCTGGCGGCCCCGGGGGACCCGCCGCCCCAGCCCTGCCGGGGAGGCGCGCCACGAAGGGGGAGAGCAGACGCGAGGGTCTATCCCCAGGTCCCCGCACCCCGGCTCCCGGCTAAAAGCCCCCCACCCCGACCCCAGGCAAAAGATGCAGGCCTAGCTCCGGGGGGAGGGGGCGGAGAGTAGATGGCCGGCTGGTTGGGAATTGTAATAATAATAATAATAATAACAACAGTAGCAGCAACAATAATAGCCATCGTTTGTAGGGCATTTATTCAGTGCCAAGCAGAATGCTAACACTATTAATGCGTTGCCTCAGCGTCTCTGGGCCAGCGGTGGCTGTGGCCGACTGTCCTCAGTTGACCTGGGAGAGAGGAGCTTGGCAAGAGACAGGAGGCAAACAACCAGGGTTTCAGGACTCACCGGGGAAGGGCTGAGACTAAAGCACTCTTTCAAACTGAGAAAGTGCTACGGAGTATCTGGCAGCTTGCTGAAGAGGTAACCATGTGTGTCGCATCTGTAACGCAATTATAGTTGTATTTCTGGTTAGACACGTAGAGAGGATGGGGAGAGTGGAGTTGGCTGTAAAAGGTATCATTCCTTCAGCAAGTATTTTTTTTGGTGCCTGTAATGGGCCTTTGGGGTGCCAGATCCTGTCCTCAGGGAGCTTACCGTCTTGTTCTGGGAATAACAACAATAATAATGGCAGCTAGCATCGACGAACATTTCTCATACATGAAACACTGTATAAGTACTACTTAAGCTTTACCGTAATCCTAAAAATATAAGTACTATTATTCCCATTTTACGACTGAGGAAACCAAGGCTGAAATTTAATGTGACTAACCTAAAATGACTAAATAGTAAAAGGGTGAGAAGTCCTTTATCTCCAGTGTTTAAGCTCTTAACCACGAAATCATACCGATGAGAATTTTATAGGCCCTGAAGCTTTAGGAATTGAGGTCCCTCTTTAGGAAGAATAAAACAAAATTACAAAGTCACTGTGGCCCCTCCTGGAACCTACAAAGGGTCCCTGAAGTTTATGCTCCATTAGCCTCATGATAAATCCACTTGCAATACTGATAACAGCAAACCGATGAAAAGCAGTGAGTGCTCAAGTTTCATATGAAAGAGATTAAAGTGGTTGTTGGACTCTGAGATTGACAGATTTTGGTCTGGTGTGGCCTGGAGACATCTTCCCCTGCAGTATTTGGAACTGAACGGCTCATAAAGTACCCAGTTGGTAGCTGTCATAATAGAATTATCATCCTTCTTATCTGTTCAGATATTAAAGAAGCGACCTTTTGAAAAAGAAGGAAAAAGAAAAGTGAACAGACTCCAGGTCTAATATGATTCAGGTTCTCTCCTGTATACAGAAGGAGGGCAGGAAGGGGTGGGGGGGTTGTTCTTAACCTACAGCTGCTCAGAAATGGCTCCATGTTGAAAAGTGAAGCCAAATCAAACTAGAGGTTAAAGCTGGTTTCAAATAGGACAGGGTAGCCTCCAGGGTCATCACAGCAGAAAATGTTGTTTTAATTGGCCTTATTAGGGCAGGATTTTTTTTTTCCTGGTAGCCCCTTCCCTTTTCAGTATAACTAAGGAGAAGATGCAAATATGTATGAAGAAAAAGTGACTACCACTCCTCCCACATCTCCCTACCCGCTGTGAGGTAACTAGTGGGTGTGGTGTGGGAAGTTAGCTTCCAAGTATACCAGGAGGCAAGCTATCCCAGAGGTCATTGTATAGAAAGGCTCAAAGACAAAATTAGGGTGTTGAAATCACGTGGCTAATTGAATCAATTTAAAATGCAGAGTAAGAAGTCAGGAGATAGAGTAGATTGACACACTTAGGCTAGGGCACAAGCAGGGGGTATATTTTATGAAACGTGTAGAATCTGTGCCTCCCTCTCCTGAGTCAGGCTTCTGGTGCTGATGGTGTGATTACAAGGACCAGAGCTGAGGTTGATACTGGCAGTCAGAGGGTACCTGGGGCCAGAGCCAGCACACACTTTCTCTGTTGAGAGACACAGGAGCGAGGATGGCTGGCCAGTTCCAGCTCACCAGTTAGCCCGATGAGCAGCTGTGGATTTTATCTGCATTTCTCAGGCAGAGAACAAATGGAGGCTGTGTAGCTGTCACCAGTGGGTCGTCATTTGAAGCCTGCCTAAATATTGAGTGCTAATATGCCTCATGAATATTTACTGTATCAAGAATATTTGGTGCCTATTTGGACCTTCCAACCCTTCCTCTCTACGTTCAGCTCATATATGCACTACTTACTTTGTCTCACAAACTACTTGCTTTCATTTAATTTCATTTCTTCTCTTATAATGTTTGTTTCTCTTATTTCCTTTGGCAGAATTGATTATTCTTTTTTTTTTTTTTTTTTTTTTTTGCTGTACGCGGGCCTCTCACTGTTGTGGCCTCTCCCGTTGCGGAGCACAGGCTCCGGACACGCAGGCTCAGCGGCCATGGCTCACGGGCCCAGCCGCTCCGTGGCATGTGGGATCTTCCCGGACCGGGGCACGAACCCGTGTCCCCTGCATCGGCAGGCGGACTCTCAACCACTGCGCCACCAGGGAAGCCCCCAGAATTGATTATTCCTAAATAACAAAGCAAATGCATGACAGTAGGTAATAATGAGAACAAACAGCTAACACTTATACAGGACTTACCTGTGCCAGGTACTGTTCAAAGCCCTTTTTATGTATTTATTAATTTAAGCCTCACAACAGTCACGTACACGTAGGTACTATCACCCCATTTTACAAATGAGGAAATTGGTGCATATAAACGTGAAGTAACTTTACCAAGCTCACACCACTTGTAAGTGATAGAATCTGCGTTTGAACCTAGGTAGTCTAGCTTCAAGGCCCTGGCTCTTAACCAATCCCTCTTCCTAGCTCATGCAAACTCTTACAAACACGTATATTCACATATGGCAGGTTGGGGATTTTATTTTAGGCAAATGGTATCATCTACTTTTCTCAGCAACACTAGACACTACTGAGTGTCCCCCACCTTGAAACTCTCCCTTCCTCAGACTTCTGTGACCCACAGCCTTGGGTTTTGCTCTTCCTCTCAAGCCACTCCCCTTTGTATACTCCATTTTGGTTTTGTTCTAGGCCTTTCTTCTCCTTCTTCTGTGATTGCTCTTACCCCCTCCCTTGGCTTTAATCATGGAATATTTGAGGATGTCCCCAAACCCCTCTCTCTGGGACAGCCTCTCCCCTGAGTACCAGATCTGTATGGCTAATTCCAGTAGGTTGTTTCACAGGCACCCATCTTCCGCCCCTTCCCCCCGGCTTTTACTTCTGGGTTCCCAAACGTCATCCTCCTAGTTGTACAAGGTCCTGTACTCACCGCTCCCTCCACCCTTACGCCCATACCCAGCATTAGTTTTCTATGCTGCTATAATAAGTTACCACAAATGTAGTGAATTAAAACATGACAAATTTACTATCTTACATGTCTGTAACTCGGAAGTCCGAAATGGGTTTTACCAGGCTAAAATCAACGTGTCTGCAGGGCTGCATTCCATCTGTAGGCTTTGGAGGAGAATCCACGTTTTGGACTTTTCCAGCTTCTAGAGGCTGCTTGGCTCATGGCCCCCTTCTCCATCTTCATAGCACCTCACTCTAACCTCTGCTTCAGCAGCCATGTTGCCTTTTCTGACTCTGACCCTTCTGCCTCCCTCTTGTAAGATCCCTTGTGATTACACTGGGCTCACCTTGATGGTCCAGGTTAATCTCCTCCTCTCAAGAACCGTAACTTAATCATATCTGCAAAGTCTTTTTTTTTTTTTTTTGCGGTACACGGGCCTCTCACCGCTGTGGCCCCTCCCATTGCAGAGCACAGGCTCTGGACGTGCTGGCTCAGTGGCCATGGCTCACGGGCCCAGCCGCTCCGCGGCATATGGGATCCTCCCGCACTGAGGCACGAACCCGTGTCCCCTGCATCAGCAGGCAAACTCTCAACCACTGCGCCACCAGGGAAACCCTCTGCAAAGTCATTTTGCCATGTAAGGTAATATAGTCACAGGTTCCTAGGATTAGGACATGGACATCTCTAGAAGGCGATGATTCTGCCTACCATACCCAGTAAACACCAAGCCCTGCGGAGTCCTCCTTTCAAAATATTCCTGGAATTTGTCCTTTTCTCTGTATTCCTGTGCTATGCTAATCCAAGAGGTTCTCTCTCCTCTGCCTTATGATGATCACTTCTCTGGCCTCTCTGCCTCCATGTGTTTTCTCATCCAATCAATTTTCCCTATTGCAACCAAATAATCTTTAAGAACATCTGACAGGGTGATTTCTTTGCAGTCCCACAGGGTTGCACAACAGCCTGGGGCACCTTTCACGTTGTGTTGTGCCTCCTGGATGTGCTACCAGCAGACCTTAATTCTCTACTTAAAACCCATGCAAAGGAATTCCCTGGTGATCCATTGGTTAGGACTTGGCACTTTCATTGCCAGGGCCCAGGAACCCTGGTCGGGGAACTAAAGGTCCTGCAAGCTGTGTGGTACCGCCAAAACAAAACCAAAAACCAAAAACCAAGGCCCCCTTTACCATAACAAAGAGATTCAAAAGTCCAGTAGTCAAATAGAATTAGAATTTTGTTTCTCATATAACAGTCCACAGGTGGGCAGTCCAAGGCTGATGGTGCGACCTCACCATCTGCACAACACATGGATTCCATGTCTGGTCCAGGGTGACTGCTTCAGTTCTCACCGTTTCCAGCACATGGGCCGGGGAGAGTATAGGCCCTGTCCTTTAAATGGAAGCCCTCACGTTTGTACACATCATGTCCATACATATCGCCTTGGCTGAAACAGTCACGTGCCCACATCTGAGTGCAAAGGAGGAAAACGTAGTCTTTAGCCAAGTGGCCAGAGACCCAGCTAAATTCCATTGCTACAAAAGAAAGGGAGAATGGATTCCGGGAGTCAACTAGCAGTCTTCCACAGGAAAGAAGACAAAGTGTTATGCAAGAGAAAAATGAAGAATGTACTTTACATTGGAAGACAGGGAGGGCCTGTTTGAGGAAGTCACAGTAAACTGGACCTGAGGCATAAGTAGGAGATGACCAGGAAAAGAGTTCTGGAAAGACCTTTCCCCACAGGAGGAGCTGCCTTGAGTCAGCAAAGAGCTAAGCTTTGGTGACTGGAGCAGAGTGAGTAGTGGCCTAAGGGAAATGTCAAGAGATGAGGTGGGAGAAATAGGCAAAAGCTAGGTCAGGCAGCAACCTGGGTATCGTGTCAAGCATTTTGAATTTTAACTTACATTCAGTGAGATCCATTGAAGAATGTTTAGGAGATCTGACTTGTGCCTTTAAAAGGTCGCTGTGGCTGCTGTGTGGAGAATGGTACGGAGAGGGCAGAAGTGGAAGTGAGGCTCAGTTGGAAAGTAACCAGTGGTGACGAGAGAGACCAGCAGTGGCTTGGACTAGAGTGGTGAGCAGTGGGGATAGAAGAAGTGGATGGATTTGAGAGAGAGTTTT